ATCGCTTAATTAATATATTTTTAATCATTCTTATCTTTAAAGGGGGTAAAGAGATTGCTTTATAATCTGCGAAAAGTTCAAAATTTTGTAACCGATGCAATTGTAGATACTGAAATTTTAAAATAGTCTAAAACCAACGAGCGATTTTCGAAAGTTGGGTAAAAATCAAAAATGAAGTTAAAACTTTGATACAAATATCATTTTAAATATTTTTTTCCGCTTTATCTGATGGTGCAAATAGTAAATCTTTGAGATTTTGTAGTTGGTTCGTTAAACGAAGACATGTGCGAAAAATCGTAAGATTTTAACTCGATAGCTTACAAGAAAGTAAGTCAAAAATCGATGACAAACTTCTGGGCATAGCGACAAACACAATAAGCAAAAGCTTATGATATGGATCATAAAAAGAAGAAAATAAATACGAGGCAAAACAACATTAGGAAATGGCGATACAGATTTGTTTTTTAGCTAGCCACGGTAAAGTATTTGAGAGCTACACTTATCTAGAAAAATATGCTTTCATAGAAGAATTTCATATGAACTCTTACTCGCATCTATAGTTTCTGAATAGTAAGTTAAGTAATGAACTATGGGAACTAGGGAAAGCACGCGAGAGATATTTGCCTAAAGGGAGGGATGCCTTCGTGGAGGACTTTCTAAGGGAAACGGATCGTATTCACGTTACATATAGGTAAGGCCACGAAAACTAACCTTGCGGTCAGTCCGTTCGACTGGGTTCGAGCCTGGGTCGAACTGCCAACATTCGAGAGTCTTAACCAAACAGCCACTGTAGAGGCCTGTTGTATGGGAACTGAATATGCTATATGTATTATGAAATTGCCAAACTGGTAAATGCTTTTCTTTGTACTTCAGAATAGATTCAGGCAATGAAATTCGCTTAAAATTCAATAGCATTTTTAAAGCTTCTACCTTAAGAGCAAAACATCAGCATCGGTATGAAACAAAATTTTCAAATCATTGAATGTTCTGAAGAGTAAAACTGTGTTATTCATGGAACATTCAAATAACATCTGTTTCATGTTAAATAAATTTTAACAGTAATTTTATCATAATTATTGATATCTTCTAACAGCTTTGCTATTTCAGGTATTTATTTTAAGATGTTCATGTAATGATGATATTTTCAAAGCTCAGTTTTGTTAATTTAATTAACAGCTGATTTCATTTGAATTTATAAGGTGATTCAGAAGCGTGCTGTATCTGGCTTCATTTTTAAATTATTTGTCCCGGACTCAAATTTGCAATCGGAATTTCTTTTTAATTTTGGATGTACATAAACTTGAAATATTCGGGATAAACCTTTATTTCCAGATGAAATTTCTTTTAAATTTTGTATAGGAATATGATTAAATTATTCATGTTAGACTCATATTTCCTTTAAATCGTAGGGGTATATAAACTTTATCCTTTTCAACACTGAGGTGCAACAATAAGAGAGGAACATTTCCTTAATTTTTATACTATGTTTAATGCAGATTTCAAAAACAACAACTAAACTTGCAGTGTCTAACCGGCACCACCATCGAGCTTTAATATTTAATAGAAACTCCATCTTTTATATATCTTATTACAAATGAATGCAGTGAATGTTTGAAAAACTGTAAATTGTATGTAAACCCCCTGAATACGTTCGTAATGCTCGGAATCGGGAGGGATGAAAAACGGAGAACAACTTAGGAAACATTTTTCATCGTTACGCTACTTTTCCATATATGGCAAACTAGCCATGTGTACTGAAAGCTTATAATACTTTTTATGTACTAAAAGTTTATAAAGCTTTTTGTGTACTAAAAGTTTATAATGCTTTTTGTGTACTAAAAGTTTATAATACTTTTATTTCCTCATTTTGATGCAATTAACAATTAACTTCTATATATCCCAAACTCCCCCAGTCTGATTATTTACACCATTCGCTGAGCAATATTTGTGCACTCTAAAATGTGCTTTCTAGAGTCAAAGATTTAAAAGATTAAGTCGACGCTAACGGGAATATTTTTGAGACTCGCTGCATACCTAAAAGTATATTAAAATAAGTATTCTCAGCCTTTTTACGCATAAGTAAGTTCCCCTACTTTGAAGGAAATTTATATTTTCAACATCAGCATTTTAGGCTTTAGAATTTAACTAAATCGAGGTCACTTTTTAAAAATTTATTATCGGAATTATTAAGATTTTATTCGACTATGGACTTTACACATGCATATTATTTTGCTCAAATGTATGTACAAAGATAGTAAGAGATAAAGTACATTCTGCGCAAAATTTATTTTCTCCTTGTCACTTTGCTGACTGTGATTGTTCTTTATTTTGACTGTGACTGTTCGCTATCGTTTATCTTAATTTCACTTAGCTTTAAACTGATTTAATTCAATCAGTGTTTCTATTTCAGTCTTGGCTGAAAGAAGAAAGGTAAAAATATTATCAAATAACTCGTTAAAAATCATGTTTTGTAATTAGATTATGTACTACTTTTCATAAGAGGAATTTTATTTTATTTTTTAAATTCTTTCAAAGCCTCCTTTGGGTAAGAATTTTGATTAAGAAGCATTTAAAAAAGGTGTTCTTTTTTCGGTTCTTTAATGCTATTAAGCACTGAAATTCTGTGCGAATAAAATCCTCAACTTTCTGGAAGAGTTTTAAGCTGCAAAATGCTTGGTGCTTCATTTCTAATTAATTAATGATAATTTAAAAAACTGCAAATGCTGTCTGAAAACAGAATTTAACTTTATTTTTTTAATTTGTTGATTTTATGTCTCGTCAAATTTAGTTATTAAAGTAAGTTATTAAAAAACATCTAAAGGCCTGAGATTTTTCATATTCTGTAACTTGTGTAACTTAGAATTACAGATGGGAATAATTTGTGGAGATAATTTAAGATATAATAAATGCTAAAAGGGAAAATTAACGCTTTCGTTCAACTATTTAAAATAATTTTCACAAAATCTGATCTGTATACTCATATAAATGGAATACATTTACCATAAATACTTCTAGATTAATTTCATTTACTTAATTGTTTACTTCTATTCTATTGAAGCAAAGCATATTTGAAAAATCTACCCACCAAATCGAGTTATTAATGTATAAGGTAATTAATGCGTAGAAATCTCGACAAGTTGTATATACTTAAAGTACGTCTTCAGAGTCTATTTAGATGTCATGGTTATTGTTGTATTCCATAATCCCACTTATACTACAAATCGATGATCTAAGAAACTGTTTGCATCTGATATTTTCATTAATTCCCGTAGTGATAACGGGAACCAGGAACTATGGCACCAGGAATGTTCATTGAAGTTATGCATATAGCCTGAAATCGCAAATTACATACTAGACATCTGATGATTGGAAACAAAGAACCTAGTCTGACTACTCGCATTTCCGACTGTTTTGAGCAGTTAGAAAGATGCATACATGGAGAAAGGCCCATGAATCCATGGATCCCATGTGTCGATAGAAGATTAGGGCTTTGGCAGCTCCATAATGATATGGGATTCGTTTAGCTCTCATTGAATGAGACCTCTTGGTACATCTGCAGTCTTCTCTGACAGACGAACAGAACACTACTTGCACGTCCTTTCAGACGAATTAACCCGTTCATACCCTGAATTCGTTCTGATGGATTTGGTCTCTTTTAACAGTAAAAGTGTGCCATCATACATATCCATCTAAAGACGTTATATTGTACTTAAATGCTAATCTTATAAGGTATTTTTCCCGCCTTCCTAGCGTGCCTTCGTGGTGTAGTGGTTCTGCACGCTGGGCCGGTATTCCAGAGTTCCGTGATTCGATTCCCGGCGAAGGTGATTGCTCATTTTCCATCTTGCTTGCTTCCAAAAAATACCTAATGTAGTTACTGGAGTCTTTCCATAGTTGTCTAAGACATTATTTCTCAACGTTATAGAACATGTCTGGGATACCATGCTGCGCGGTATTGAGCCCAGAAATCTTACATCTCCGAATGCAACAAAATTATGTGTAGCTTTTCATTGTTCACAAAATACTTTTCCATAATCGGGTAATCCATTCTTCTGCAATTTTATTCTCTCTTCGGGGACTACTAAATATTAGGTTGATGTAACAGTTTTTTGGCATTTCATTGTACAATGTTAAGAGTTGAAATTTTGAAAAATTTTAATTTCCTTATTTCTGACAAATAAAAATGATTTACGGTTTGGTAAAGTACATTAAAATTTGCATAATATTTCTACTGATAAAATTCAAACTGTTATTCTAGAATAATTAACAAATGCCTACGCATTTTATAATTTTTCAAGCATCATAACAATATCTTAAGCTCATGAATATTTAACGTTAGTTTCGGTAGTTTAATTTTTAAAAAAAAATTCGGTACGATACTTGAGTATCTATTTCGAATTCTACTTAATGATAATTTAAATATAAATTCTAAATGTAAGTAATTTAGTGCTAGAGCACAGATCTTTAAATTTTAATAATAAAATTTTCATATTTCATTGATTAGGTATATTTTCAAAGTTGATGCTATTTCATATTATTGTTTAACAACGTAATTTAATAATATTATAATCACATCTAATATCAAAAACCTTTAAAACGTAGAAAATGTAGCCATTAAATTTTAATATTTATAACTATTTATATTTATAGCTAGCTATTATATTTATATTTACAGCTATTATTTTATACTTATGGCTATTTTAATATTTATATCTATTTATAAAATTTTAATATTTATAGCTATATATTTAGTAAAATGAACTACATAAGCAACAATTATTGTTGAAAAAGCATTGATGATAATTGAAAACTTTTGAAATTAATAAGTTGTCTTGCCTTTTATAAAAATTTCCGTATTGCATCAATCCTAATGGTAAAATCAGGAGACATAAAAGTATTTAACAAATTAATAAATAAAGTATTTAACAACTTTTATACACATACAGGAACAAAATTCTTACGTGTATTGCTTATGTGAAAAGTAGAGGAAAGGGTGGTACCTTTTGGAGGTGAACATTTGCCCATTTGGTAAATGTCTTCTTCTGGACAGTTAACCTTTCTCGACGTAAGCTTTCAACCACTGCTTCCGGTATATTTTCTTCCATTCTAATCCAAAAACGATTGCCTAACTAAAGTTAATGCAGGTTATTAGAAAACCATTCTAACGAACGAACTACAGTACTGACATTCAGTTGTGGTATCAAAGAATAAAAGCATGTGATCAAAGGGAACAAACTATAAAACTGGTGCGCCCGTTTTTGACATAAACAAGACTATGAAAAGATGACGTCCCACCACCTAGACTTCAGAGTGTTGTAAAAAGACAACTCCTCTGAAGATTACGACAAATTTCAGTTTATCTGACGCGTTATCTATGAAGGTCGCTCCAAACATAACGATACCTATTCGAGATAGAGTTGTACTGTTCTGAATAGACAATTGAAGAGCAACAAGCAATTCTTCTGTATGATAAGATACAAGAGTCAAAGTATTTTTAACCATTTGAAGCAATTCTCTCGTGCCGATGAAGAAAGGTAATGAGAAAAGAAAAAACGTTTTTTTATTTTTCATAATCATAATTTTCACAAGCATAATTTTCAAGAGATAACCTTATGTTATTCTGAAACGAAAAGAAAACTTAAGGAGAATGATAACATTTCTATAACGATTAAACTATTACAGAAACTCGAAATGCTAATGAAACAATTATATATATAACTAGTATTAACAATTAAGCAATTTTCAGATATCTGACGGAAGTAAAACGTTATACGAAATATTATATCTGCACTTTTATAGGAAAGTGGTTAAAGCCAAAATGTTCGCATCTGAGAGGTTCTTTTTTTCCCACTAGTCGCAATAAAACCAGGAATTTTATATTCATCATGCGGAAAATACCCAGTACTCTTCCTCTATTACACTTTAAATTAGAGCCATTCTTTCTAGAAACCAATACAACATGTGTATTCGAATAAACCATCTATGGTGATATTATTTTTAATGATATATACCTCATCATAAGAAGAAACTAAATGTCTTTTGAAACATAAAGAAAAAGATTAACCCTTAAAGAAATACTTCTTTTAGTTTTACGATATATGATTTAAAAACGTGTCTAAACAAAGTTTACTTTAAAGCTTGAGTACTGGAATTATTATATTTTGAGAAAGCCCAGGGAGGATATTCTAAGAGAAACTATTTCATATTCACGTTAAAACATAAGGAAAATCACAAAAACTGCTACGTAGCTAGATCTTTCACCAAAATTGGAAGTCTAGTCAAACTATGAGCATTCAGCTTTCTTGTTAGTAGTTTTGTTACCGTGAAAGACCGAAATTGGAGAATGTCGACTTTCACCGGAGAATGTCAACATTCACCAAATACGTCGGTGAAAGATCGAATATTGCATTACATTCTTGTACATTCGGATCCTCACCGGTGTATGTCGACAATCACAGATATGCTCTGGTGTAGGTTGAAAAGAGAGGTCATAAAGTGTCATAACAGCTTAAGTTGTTGCAATAAATAAAATTTGGATCACATAATTTAGTAAGTTTTTATTACGATTATTTTATTTTCTCATTTAGAACGTACTGTATAATTAAGTAAGTTTTTAACTTCTATTATTTTCCTTTCTCATTTTGAATGTACTGTGTGTTTTAAGTTATGTTCTTAAGTTCTTATTTTAAGTGCGTTTTTTCGCGACTGAATTACAGAGAAGAAAATATAATATTCTTATATGTTCAACATTCACCATTAGTACATGGTGAATGTCGACATTTACCGGTGTAAGTCAGAAATAAGAGCATTGGAAAAATATTTCGGACATACACCAAGCGACTATGTGAATGTTGACGTTCACCTGTGAAAGTCGACATTCTCCAGATTTCGGTGTTATATCGAATAGGTATCGATATAACAGTTCTATTCCCAACCATTCCAATAGTTCCTTCTCGGAATAAGGTTTTGCTATTCTAAACTTCACAAAAGGGATAAAAAATGCACATAGTCAGCAAATGAATGCATACGGTATATTTTGAACAAGCATGGCAATTATTACACATGATAGAAATAACATCAAATGTGACAGCAGTTTTTCTGTAAACATGCTTGCGTCAAAGTAATTCACTCTGTAATTATTCGATGTTTTATAACCGACTGTAACTGTGTTTTAAGGGATTTCTGGATGTCGTTTCATAGAAATTGTATGTTGCCGGTTAACTTTGCAAATGACTATTTTCAACACACGCTGTGAAGTAACAATTAGATTTCATAGCTTTAATAATTTTACTTTAGCTATGTTGTACTTACTTTAGCTCTGTTGTTGGGCATGCTCATTTTGCTGAAAAATAGATTTAACATGTACAGTGTGACATCATCCATCCCAGAAATAAAAAGAGCTCGTGCGTACTTTTTTTTAGGTCTACCATGCTCAATGTCACTTTATTTCTCCATCAGTCTTCATTGTTTCCTCAAAACTTCATCATTTATAGAAAATTCATATTTTACTTCAGATTCCATTAAAAGTATTCTAGAACCGAATGAAAAACTACCGAATCCTCTGATGCTCAAATTTTTATTGAACTTTGAATGGTTAAGTGTCAGAAATATTAACTTTCACTTTTTAAGTGTTTTTGTCTACAAATTTTATTAGAAATCTGTCAGTATCTTTGCCAAAGAAGTATTAAAGTGGGAGTTAGATTCCTTACTACTTAATTATTCTAATATAATTTTAATTTTCGAAGGAAACTGTTAAACTTATCGCATTTATTGAGCATCATATAATTTTTAAATGGATTTGTTCAGTGTTTTAACCATTTTTCTTTTAATATAAATTAAAGATGAAGGGCAATATATTGCTCATAATTTAAAATAATAATAAAAATACACAAATTATCGTTTATGCTATAAAGCATATGCTATAAAAGTTAAGAAAATCTTTCATGAAGCCAAATGTAGATGTCATGGTGTACTTTGTAATAATTCAAATTATTACTATAATAATAAGCATTTCAATTACCAGCACATGATCTTCGTCGCAGTAATTTGCAAAATCAGTAAAGGAGGAGTTTGAAGACAAGATCAAAATGAGGCCGAAAGTTTAATTAAAAGATCATTCAAGTTAAAGATCACTCGATAATTAAAATTGTCGTCCACTACTACTTAAATTTACTGGATTAATAAATAAATTAGAGAGTTTTCCATAATAATCCTCGCTAACTTGAAATAAAGTACTTAATCCTGCTTCGCTTAGCCGAAATTGGGGTTAAATGAGACAGTGAAGAAATATGGATTTGAATAAGCGGTATGAAATCAAACCTTGATTGTTGCTCATTAACATCTTCTCCGATTTCTTTTCTGAAACCAGCTGTTTACCATTTTTAAATTCTTTAAAAAGCTAAATGATGGTGCACAATAAGAATTATGTTGATCGGCGATAATGATTTCTAAGCACTTTGCCGGTAACCTTAATAACAATATCAATAATAACTACAGGGTGTTTCATAGATCATGAGACAAACTTAAAGGGGTGGTGGAGCGTACTAAAACATGCATTTTTTGTGTACGAATGTAGGGTCTAAAGTGACGGGTTAAAGCAGGAACGGAAAAAAACGACACGAGAGGAAAATGTGTTTATGTACAAAATGAACGCAAAGGGCTTCTTTGCAGCAATACAGTATTCAAAATAAAAGTTAAAAAAAAAAAAGGGGGGGAGAACACTAACAGTAATAAAAACTACAGCTGTGATTGGCTGGCAATGCACGGTAGTGAGCCGGTCAAATCGCTATCCGATGCATCAGAGGATCATTCGCAACTCTGATGTCGAGCGTGATGGGTGAGTTTACGCACAGGGAAAAAGCTGACATGCATCTCATGTATGATGCTGCTAATGGGAACGGTAGAGCAGCGCTACGGTTGTACCAGGAACGGTTTCCGAACAAGCGTGTGCCGAAGTACACAGTGTTCGAGAGGTTGCATCGATCTCTGTGTGAAAACGGGTCATTTAAAGCCACCTCTGACACTAGGAGTTGAAGAAGAGGTGCACGACAACCTCACATTGAAGAATCCATCGTGAACATTGTGCATGTATCACCTCAGACAAGTACAAGAGCTGTTGCACGTCGTCTGTAGTTGAATCATTCCACCGTTTGGAGAGTATTGCATGAAAATGGTTTGCACCCATACCATTTGCAGAGTCCTTGAAAGAGACCGATTACCCTCTTTGAGTTCATTTCTGTCATTGGTTCTTGCAGCAGTGTGCGGCGCAGGCGGATTTCACGGACGATTTGCTATTCACGGACGAGACAACTTTCTCACAGAACGGCATCTTCAGTAGCTACAACATGCACGTGTGGGCAATTCATAATCCACACAGTACACGTCCACATGCATTCCAAGCCCGCTTCTCCGTGAATGTGTGAGCGAGTATTGTTAACGACTACCTCATAGGCCCATACCTCTTACCTACACGTACAAATGACTTTTGTTATCATATTTTTCTGCAAGAGGTGCTACCGGAATTGCTGCAGGATGTTCCGGCTTTCGTTCGTGATCGCATGTGGTTCCAGCATGATGATGCACCAGCCCATAACCACGCGCGGGTCCGCAATTACTTGGATAGGACATTTCCTGGCCGATTAATTATCCATGGTGGACCCGTTCGATGGCCACCCCGTTCGCCAGATTTATCCAGCTTGGATTTTTTATGGGGCCATCTGAAGAGCATCATTTACGAGGCTCCCGTTGACTCACTGGAGGACCTCGTTGCACGACTATCCATTGCGGCTGCAAGAGTGCACGAAATGCCTGTCGTTTTCCAAAATATTAGTCAATCCCTTCTGCGACGTTACCAAGCATGTATTACTGCTGGTGGTCGCAATTTTGAACATTTATTGTAAATACTGTATTGCTGCAAAGAAGCACTTCGCGTTGATTTTGTACATAAACACATTTTCCTCTCGTGTCTTTTTTTTTTTTTTTTTTTTTTTTTTCGTTCATGCCTTAACCCGCCACATTAGACCCTACATTCCTATAAAAAAATGCATGCTTAAGTACACTCCCCCCCCCCAAGTTTGTCCCATGATCTATGAAACACCCTGTATAATAAATTAATGAGTGCTCATTTCAATGATGAAAATCAGGTTCTTTTACAACCACGGAAATTAATCTCTATCGTAAAACTTTCAGGCACTCAGAGGATGCAAAACATTGAATTATATCCGCGAAGCTCATCTTTGCCAAAGTAGCTTAGTCGATACTAAACAAATAAAGATAATTTAAACTCGGTTC